TATGAACATCCCCCGAAATAAATAACCGTGTTCTGTTCGGAAGTAACTTCCACCCACCCCGTCGAACGGCTTTAAATGTGTTTGGTCAAGGATGCTCAGGATGACTGCACCATCCTACGCAGGTTTATTCGGAAGTAAGGCCCGCTGAGTTGAGTTGAGCGGGACTTGTTCGGAGCTGTGAAGAAACTAGTTACAAGTAACGCAGTCGGCTATAACTAGTTACTTCTGGGTGGTGAGGATAAAACTCGGGTCAAATTTGAAAAGGCAAGTAATTAGGAGTTGCAAAGTCACACTGCGCAGTGGCTATTTTTTTCTTATTGCGCTTAAATTGCTAGAAAACTTTATAAGCATTTCTAGCGACCTTTCTGACAGTTTTTCCCCCCAGGTCTCATGCCATTCTCTCATCGGTCATAAATGACAAGGGAGAGATTGCTCTGTTCAGCTGCATTTCTTTCTTGGAAATTTGGTTGCTCTCCAGCATCTTTCCAGAGCGGATGCCAAGGGAAGCTCCTTCCTTCCCAAGGGCAGGCACAGCATCAGGACTGGAGTTGCTGAAAGGAACAGTGTGAACTCCCACCCCTGCATGCCCTGGCCCTGATCGCTTCACCCCCCTACTTAACTAAGGTGTGTGTATGGGGTGGGGGTGGGGGAACAGCTTCACAAAATGCAAGCTACAAGGAAGTCTGTTTAAATGCCAGGAATCTTAGGGACCTTTCACTGGATGTCGGAACAAAGATCAGCCATGATTTGAACCCGAGACAGTATCAACATATCCTGTTGGCTTCTGCCAAAAAAAGTTTTTGGATAAGATAGTTTAATTCACAGTTACTGAATGTAACAAAGATACCTCACATTTTCAAGGACATTTGATTTGGTTCCTTCATGCCAGTACAGTATAAATGCTGGGCCACTTTTGGGAAGGAGAGGTCTGGTGAACCCACAAAGTCCATGTAAATTGAGCTTTCTAGGGAGGCAGAGATCTTGAAAGGGTGTGCCTTCTTGACTTGGCATCTCTGTTGGTAGAACATTATCACAGATGGAAAACAGCCAGGGGCATGATGGAGCTGCTTGGATCTGTCCCACCAAAATAGGCAGGCTTAAAATATAATTACAAGACCAGGTTGGGAGTCTGATAATTCTAAGACGATGGTGATCAATTCAGCCGGAGTTCAAGGACCCATGTTGCTTCAGCAACTCTACAGCCCTCATAGTCATCTTCCAAGAAAGATGACTAGGAGGCTGAGCCTTCATACTAATAATTTCAGAACACGTGAAGAGATTTTTAGCACCTGTTCTACAGCTTCTGTCATTAGCTGGGGTTGTTTTTCTCCCTGAGGGTGCCACATCAGCTCTGTTCAGGCACTGAGAAAGTTCAAGCTGATGCGTAACAGTTACAGATGAGAAAGTCATGTGGATTGCAGGAGTGACATGTTACTCTCTTGTACAGCATAAATAGTAATTACCGTGGGGATTTGTACTGAAATTTCACAGAGCAAGGAGTTTCCTTTCCGCACCTACTAATTACAGAGTGCAGAGAAAGTAAAGGGAGGCGGGTGTGGGAATGTCAGTACACTTCGCTGACACATTTATAAGAAAGATGAACCCGCTGAAGGTCCCAGCTTGAAATGAACGCACTTCCAGATTTTCTTCAGGACATGTCATGTTGGTTAAAATATCAGAAAATGTCTGCGGCAATTGCTGTGACTTAACTGCTTTCAAGATAACACAACGGGAACTACCCAGCCCACCCAGAGTGCTTTTAAGTCCCATTTATTTCAGTGGGAGAAAGTTCCATGTGTGTTCAGTTCTCAAGTTGAAACTGATATTACAATGTGTAGGTTTGTTTGATCGTATGCCTAGAATTCTTTTTCATCGTTTCAAGAATCTTGTTCTTGAATGCACAAGTCTGGGGTAGGTTCAGGAACCAGCCTCAAAAGGGATCCCTTTGAGCTCTAGGCCACATGAGGAGCAACAGTGTACTTTTCAAAGCAGTTTAACAACACAGCTGAATGAGCCGGGCCTGATGCTTAATTTCTTTGTAGAAGTTCTATTGCTTTTTAACAAGTGAGTTATTTGCAACTTTAATTGAACTTAAAAGTGCAGTGTATGTATTATAAATCACCAACTCAGACCCAATTTATGGCCACCCAAATAAGCTTTTCAAGGTAATCTAGGGTGGTGTTGGCGGCAACCAGAAACAGAAGAGGTACTGTCTGGGACTCTAGGTGATTCAGTCCTGAGGCATGATCCGTCCCCCACATAGTTAACAGTTCCACCTCATGAGTTCCTATGGCCAAGTGGGATTTGAACCGACATCTCTTGAGGCCGAGTCTGCAATTCTACCCACTATAAACACACTGAGTGTTACATTCCACTCCATTAAATGGTCTTTCAGGATAGATATCTGGAACTATAAAGCCAACACAATAGCATGTGGCAGCTTCTCATAAACAAGACAGTGACTGACACATGAATTAGTTAAACATGCAAACCTCTGTTTAAAATGTATTTTCAAACTGGCCATACATCATTATTTTAAGAAGGATGGGCTGAGAAAAGGAAGGTATCCTTAAATCTTCTGACCCATTTGTCTTCCCATTTTCTATTTCTTCTAAAAGAAATAGAAAATATCCCCAAGCTGCAAGATAATAGTCAAAAGCAAGGAGAGAGACTGGATGGATATTATAGCCTGAAGGATGATGATTCTGGAGAAAGAGCTTATCTTGCTTTTGATATATTGATACAAATGGACTTAACAGATCATTCGTTTTCATCTCTGCACATGGATTACCCATCTGTGTTTTGTTTTATTTCAGTTTTGTTTACCTGTAAGAAAATATTAGCTTGGTCCTGACTCGTACAAGTGCTTTTTTAACATCATGTTGCCACACTATCTGCTCCTGATTTTGTTTGATTTTTCTCTGTTGTCACTAATTAACAAATTATCTCATGTATCTCTCATTGTATTAGCCTTGTGAGTTGGTGCACGACAACAACTCATTAACCAGTGGTAACTTGCCACTGCAGTTTACACCACTGAACTTTTTTTGGGGGGTGGCAGTGGCAGCCAGAATTGATTTGGAAGACATAATTGTATTAAAAGTAGACTTCAAATATAACATAATACAATATTAGTCCATATCCTTTTCTAGAATTGCATACATTTCATACACACTACCAGACAATAACCTCTGTTATTTTAATGGAGTATAATTTCCCATTCTTGTTCTGCTCTGGAACTTGGAAATACAGACATGTATACATATACAGCCCAACAATCTCATATTTGTGAGCACTGCAAATCACATGAGGCAGTGTGATTTGATATCCCAAATGGTGTGCATGTTTTGCCAATTTGGACACAATTCATCATGTGATTTTACATGTGACTTACAGTGTCGCATAGGCTTGCCCAGTACTGGATCTGCTGGATTTTTTCTTTGCAGAAATCTTTAACCCTTCCTGAGAAACATTCTCACGCTTGCAACAGACCTCAGAGCAGATGATTCCAAAAGGATATGAAGCAGAACTGATCTGATCCTTAAAGGAGGGAAATTGATAGAACGTTTTATAAAAGGCAGGAATCGCTGAAGAACTCTGTGGTGTCTTTGGAAGAGGGAGAAGGAGCATTTCTAGGAAAGCAGCAGCAAATAGAAAGGCAATCATCTAAAAGTACTAGATGAATACATCCTTGCAAACCCCTTATCAAACCAATCAGATATGCTAGTTTGTAACATGCAGTTATTTATCGGGAGGGAACATTTGTCAGGATGCTACCTGCAGGCAAACATCCACCTGCTGTTTGAAGGTAGACTGATTATTTCCGCCACAGCCTTCTCCATGAAGCACAGAACAGCTCCCAGTGTTCACCCCTGGGATTTTATGAGGAATTCCCTTGGGTACCTACCCAGCAACAGCTTCACAGTCCAGCTGCGACAAGGCCTTAGAAAGGTCATCCTGGTCATAAAGCTATAAACTTAAGCAGCAAAGGAAGCAGAAGGTTCATGGGGTGCTTTCTCTGGAGTTCGGGTGGCAATTAGTTCAAAGGAAAGGCAATTCTACTTTGTCTCTATGAAGGCTGAAGTGCCACAAAAAAAGCTGTTCAGTTGGGTACACCTTCATCAACAAAAAAGTGCTTAATTACTATTGCACATTACAGCCCTAAACCATCTTCTTAATTTTACTAAATACAGAGCGTTTAAAACTCAGTTACAAAGCTTGTAGTAACCCTAACAAAGTAATTTGTTACTGATAATGTTGCACATCTTTCATTAATTCTCCATGTCCTTCATTATCTTAGTTATTACATTTTCATTAATGTTTAGCCTAACGGTTTAGGACTGATAAGA